TTGAAGTAAGCTCTTTGAAAATTTAAAGTTTTTGCTCTTTAAATCTTCCAAAGTCCAAAAACTAGCGGATAAATTATATCATATGAAAAGAATATAATCTTTCTTTCAGAATCAAACAAGAGTCGAATTAGAGAATATGAAATTTTCCCAGTTTATTATGTGAAGGAAACAAAAAGTGTCATAAAGGTATTGAGTATAATAATTTTTTAGCTCTATGGATATTCATAGGCGTGTTTGTATATTAGTGATTTGCAAACGAATAATTAATGGGAATTCATCTGAATCTCAATCTAAAATAATGTTGCTACCTTTATTTCAAACAGCAAAATAGAAAAGTAAAAGGAGAAAAAGGGATTAAGACGTGAAGAAAAAAAAGTGGAAGAACATATCCGTATTGTAGTAGTGCCCATCAAAATCTCATCTTGGTTGTTGTGTCACTTTAATTAGGAAACACCAAGGAGGGAAACTTAATATATACTCTTTAAATTTAAAATTAATTAGCAACAAACAAATTAGTAGTTCATTGACATATCATTCAACGTTCACTTTCACTTGAGAGTTGAGACATTCATAATCCGTTGATTTGAGATGAATTCTACTATATAATTAGTTTTATATTGGATTGGTCAAACTAGTTCCGAATATGATTAGTCGTTCAATCAATCAATATTTTTTACACACTTTTCTCATTTTCGATGGGCTTGGTATGTGTAACTTTTGGTTTTGTTGAATACATGTAATTTTCAAAGTATGAACACATGAAAAAGATAACACATTTACGTACGTATTTTTCAACACAAGAAGAAAAGTATAAAGACTCCAAGTGGGATGAAAATTAATGACACTTGCAAAATTAAATAGCATATAGACACGCAAAATCAGAAAAGTCAGAACTTGTTGTGTAAATGCGTAAAATGATTGGACAAGTAACATCATGATATGAAATAACCTAAAGTTGAGAAAAAAAAAATAAAGGACTGAATCATGTAGTCACGTAGGTGATGGGAAACAGGTATTACTGTTAGTGATGCAATCAAAGCTAATAATTCTTCAGGCCCATCCTCATATCATCATAGGTTTATCACAATTAATAAAGAAAAAAATTGATCCAAATTCATTTTAATTTTTTTAATAAAACATTAAATTTTATATAAAATTATATGGGTTTAACGAAAGTTTTAAAATACACACTTAATTATCTCATTGTCATATGTGAAATATTTTAAATTTTCTATAAAAACCCGATTTTTTTTTCAGAATAGATTTTAGTTAAACCGATTATCAGATTAATCTTAAAAAACTAATAACGAATATAGAATTTTTGTCATCTTGAACCCATAATTACTTTAATATTGACTTTGTTTGGTTTGGGAAAACTATTCAAATTTTCATTTCTTACATATGAAATTTAGAAAGTTAATAGCAAAGCAAAACAAAGAAGAAAAGAAGATGCAGTTTTGATATATATCTCTTTCATGAAAGAAAGTAAAGATCGATTATTTGAGGAAAATAAACTCTTTTGTTGTTTCTCTATTATCTCTCCTGTGTTTTTTTTCCTTTTCACTTAATGAGATCCCACTCAGCTTCTGGAGCTACTCATCAGTAAC